TTTATTATAAATTATACTACTATAAAGATTAGTATTAGACTAAAAATAAAGATTGTAAATATATAGTTAGATAGTTAGATAGTTATATATTTAGTATATATAGAGTATATACCTAGAGTATATTTAATATAAATCTATTATAAGTAATAAAAGAAATAGAACTTATATTCCAATTACTCTAAGAAGTAATTAATAAAGTCTAGTTATAGAATTTATTCATTAGTAAGAAGACTTTAAAGAGTTTATGCATTATTAAATAGAATTAAAAATATGATGTAGAATCTATATAAATAGTATATTTAAATTACTAAGTACTTATAAAATATTAATTAATAATTTAAAAGATATATATAAGAGATTTACCTATTAGTATTTCTTATAAAAAGCCTAACTATAAGTAATATTATCTTTTTCTAACTCTTAGATTATTTTCTATACTTATCTTCTATCTTTTATACTTAGAATTATAAGTATAGAATAATATAATAGATATCCCTTATAAGGAAGATAGTTATACTTATAATATACTATATAAGAAATAAAATATAAAAGAATATACTCTTACTAAGTATAGTTATTATTAAGAGTATAAAGGTATTTACTTATTCCTAGTATATTTAGTATACTTTAAAGGTATAAGAATAATATATATTATATACTAGCTATCTATACAATATCTAAATTACCTAAGAAGGCTACCTATCCTTATTTATAAATATATACCTATATAATAAGGTTTATAGTTACTCTTTTAATCTCTCTAAAAAGTTTGTAAAATAATATTTTATATATAAGTTAAGTAGTACTATTAGTATATATTCTTATAAATATAATATCTAGATTATTAACAAGAGATAATATTACTAAGGTATATTAAACTTACTTTAATTCTATACTAAAATATTATTATCTAAGTATTACCTAATAGTAATCTTATTAATTATACTATAAATTCTCATAAAAGTTATATTAATAAGAAAGAATAGTTATTAAAGAAGAAGATTAGCTTATAAGAGTATAAAATAAATTACTAGAAGGAAGTCTTAGTAGAATATATCTTGAATAAACTAATATAAAGTCTTTCTTTTTAATATTAGCTAGAATTTACTTTTATTATTTAAAATAAACCCTTATAAAGTCGTTAGTATATATCCTAGATATACCTTAATAGTACTTAAAAGGTAGTCTATTCTTACTACTAAAATCTATCCTATATAGATTATAGAGAAATTATGACGGTTCTAAACGCCACTACACCTCAGACCAGCCCCTGGCTGGAACCCACCGGATACCGTGCTTCCTGAGCCCGGCTCAGTTAGCCATAGCTTGGCACAACCTCCTGTATATAAGAACCTCTGGCTCCCGAGCTCTGCTCTCTTCTCTTCTCTCCTTAGCTTAGAATCCTCGAATAGACAGTTCCACAGTGTCAATCTCACCACTCGTGATACCTGACGTAGTCGTGCTCTTGCGCGGTCCATCAGCTGTGCGTGTCGTCATAGAAATCTCTAAACCCGAATTATTATAGTCTATTTTTAAGAATTTAAAAAAGCTAGATATATTTCTTCTATATATTAAATAAAATAAGACATTGAAAAGTCTTTAAATATAATACTTTAATATTAAGTTCCTAGATTTATACTTAGAAAATATAGAGATAGTATGACTAATATACTTATAATATATAAGGTTTAAGGTGTTAGAACTATTAATTATAGCCTTTACTTTATATTTAAGATCCCTAGGTAGTTTAGAAGGAGGCGGAGGATAAGTACAAATTCCTTAATAATAAAGAAGAATATAAGAAACCTTCTTTAAATCTTTTAGGATAAAGATCTTAAATATTATGTTATAACTTCTTTAAATTAAGTTATCATTACCTTAAGAGTACAAAGAATCTATACTATTAGTATAAGTAATATATATTCGTAGGATATATAACTTATAATAAGATATCTTTCTACTACTTATATTTATTCGAATTATAGTATAGTCTATTAGTAGTATAATTAGTACTACTGGATACTAGGTAGTAAAGATAAGATAAATTAAAATAATAATCTATAAGTATTATATAAAAGAAGTAAGATAAATATATATTATATAGATGTCACAAATTACGTGCTAGCACGTGAGGAGTTAGTCCAGACGGGGTTCTGACAGGACAAACACATCATGGCTCTTATAGCAAAAAGGGATCGCTTGGGTTAGTTAAGCGATCCAGGGATTTCTTTGTGTATAAGTCACGTGATATATGCAGGTCGACTTCTCGCCTGGTCGAGAAGTCGATTATCGACTATGTCGACTTCAGGAACACGAAGGTTCTATATAAGACTGGCACGTCTGCCATTAGATAGGAGCTTCGTGCTCAACTTAGTTATCAACTTAGTTATCAACTTAGTTATCAATCTTATCATATAACGANTCTGCCATTAGATAGGAGCTTCGTGCTCAACTTAGTTATCAACTTAGTTATCAACTTAGTTATCAATCTTATCATATTAGTTTGACATCTTTGATACAAGTAACGAGTTCACTTCCAAGTGAACAACCCGATAGTCTTCTTCTTATCATAGCATACCAACCAGCGAACACCCAGACAAGTTTAGTTAGCCAGTTTGAGTATTCGTTACACTTTAGGATTAGTTTTAGAATATATAGGAACTTCTTATATATAATATACCTTAGATATAAGGAAACTACCTTTTTAAGTAAGACCTAAAGCTATAGTAAGTCGAATATTTTTAGGATTAAACTTATTATAATTAGGGTTAATAATAATAGAGGCGTTATTATTATCCTAGTAGTAGTTAGCTTATAGGTAAGATATAGAAGGGATATATATAATGGGGGGAATAGATATATAACTTATATAAGTTCGAAGTTATTCCTACTTTATAATATATTTTTAGATATTAATATTAATAAACTTAATTTTAAGAGAATACTAAATTTAACTTTTAGGAATTCTAAGAACTAGAAAAGTAATCGCTTTACTATAAGGTATAAGAGAGGTAAGGTTAATTAATTAAGATATATTAAATATACTACTAAAGGGTATAGGAGTTATAACTCTTATAATATCTTCTAAATTTATATTTAAAGTAATAAATTTAGTAATATTAAATATATAACTAACAGATATAGGAGATATAAGGTTAATTATATCCCTTGTTTTATAGAAATTTAGTTAAGAGATATTCAATATACTACTAATATAGGTATAACCCATACCTATTATAGAATTTATTATCTTTATACTTAGTATATTAAATTAGGAGGTAGTTTAAGGGTAGATTTAAGGGTAGATTTAGGGGTAGATTCAAGGGTTTAATTAAGGGTTAGTTAGATTGACGTTAAATATATAACCTATAGATATAGGAGTTATAATATTAATAGAATTAAATAATATAGAACTTAAAGTAAAGGTAAAAGAAGGAGTACTATAGACATATATTAGTTATATATATTTTATAAAATTTAAAAACACTTATATAATAAAGGTAAGAGAAGCCGTAGTACTAGAAGGATTAGGTCTAGCTAATACTAGATAAGAAGGGATATTAAAGGTACTATAGATAAACATTAGTTATACCTTTTTTCCTAAGTATTTAAAGACTTTATAGTAAGGATTAATTTATTAGAGAAGGTAAGAGAAAAGATATTAATATTATAGGTTCTAATTTTAGTATCTTAATTAGAGAAGATATTATTTAAGATTCTTTATTATTTCTAGGATATTTATAAATAAGACTAAAAGTTATCTTATCTTACCTAAATTATAAATTAGTTTCTATACTATTATATTATAAATATATAGCTAGTATATATTTAACTTATATAGATAATTTACTAGTACCTAGACTACTATAAGGAGTAGGAATAGTTATAAGGTAATAAACCTTATTTATATATACCCTAAGAGAAGATATATTTTTAAAATAGTAACTAAAATAAAAATTAGAATAGATATACTATAAAAATACTTAAGATATATAAATAAAATATACTTAAAAACCTTATAATATAATTAATTTCTTAGAACTACCTAACTATATAATTTCTTATATATAAGAATTTTAATTAGTTTAGTTAAATTAATTTTAAATCTATCTAAATTAATAGAATACTACTAGTAAGAAACTATTATATATTTATTATAAGGTATTATAAGAAACTAAAAAATAATTTATAAACCTTAATTATATATTAAAACTATAATATATGTATAGTAGGGCTACCTATATTATATAATAATAGTAGAATAATTTTAATTAAGAATTTTAAAGAGTAAAGAATAGGTTATTTAGATTATAGTATAGTTTAGTATAAGTTTAATTAAAGTTATAATAAATTTACTATAATAGTAAGAGTAGGAGTAAATAAAAAAGGATACTAAGATAAAAAAAGTTAGAAGTAAAAAATATAATTAAGAATATAATTAAGTAAGTAATTAAAAAGGATTATTCTAAAAGAAAAGTAAAATAAAGAAATAATAATAAAGAAAAGTATAATAAAGCCTAGTAAAATTACTTTAAATAATAGACTTCTATATATATAACTCTTAAAACTATATGATCTTATATATAATCTTTTCTATATTCGACCTTTTTTATATATAACCTTTTTTATATATTTCTACCTTAAATATATAATAATTATACTTCTGGCCGTTAAAAACTACGGACATAGTCTAAATATACGTCTGTAACATAGTAAATAGACTTTAGTCCCGGGCGGATGTCGGGTACGTGGATCCCCTAGCACTTACCCCTACAAATCTTACACCCTGGTAAAAAAACTGGTGTTACCACTAAACGTCTCAGAGCATCGCATCGCTTCAGATCATGCATCCACCTCGAAGTCCCAGCTAAGGACCACAGTCTAGTTTCCAGCCCGGAATTTTCTCGCAGAGTGGCAACCAAGAATTCGATTGTACTCCATCATGCGATTCGCACCAGGCCAGAACACTTTGAAGGAAGATATCGACGGATTTTTTTTTTGTGGAGACAAATGATTGCAATTCTATAATCTGTGGCATCTCTATGTACAAAAAATAACAACTGAAAAATACAGATGTGATAATTCCAGCCAGCAAGTACGGTACATGCAAAAACAAGTATGCAACTCCAGCGTAAGTTTGGGTATCCCGAAAATTTGGTCCAACTCCATTCCAAAGGAGATTAAATTAAAGGATTTCTGGTTTCTGCGAAGAAAATCGCGTTGGGCCTGGTACGAAAGGTGGCATGGGTGTATTATTTTGTACAAGAGGGTTGCGCGGTGGAAGGATGGGTAATTATGCCGGGGAAGGGAACCGGGTCGTCAATTAGTCGTCCATCACGGTGTACTCGTCCCAGAGCAGAGGCGTGGATTGGTAAGCAAGGGAGGTGATGCCAGGTGGGCATTGCCAAGTGGATACTTCAAGGCAGATAGGGACATGGTGTTTTATGGAGATCACTCAACCAAGCGGTCCCGTCCAGAAAAGTCGCATGGGAGGTCGTATCATCAACAGAGCAAGTGCACGGGGAGGGGTTCACTCTCGGAGTCAAGTCGTCCAATATCGTCGCGTGGGGCCTGGCTGTCGCATAGGAAGAGCATCATGAAGTCCAGGTAGTCCGGGTTATTCTCGGAATAGAAATGATCCTGTCCAGTTGTCGCAAGGGCCTAGATGGGGTTATTTATAATTGTTGCGCATGAGAAGCTAATGTGGAAGGTTGGGGATCAATGGTGGCATCTTCATGTACAGGTGGTCCAGAATAGTTCTTTTTACCCCATGCGAAATACCAGCCGGTAGCAACGAAGAAGAATGCCACCAAGACAACGGAGGCATAGTTCATAGTATCAGCAGCAACGGGAATAACGGAAGGCATGCAGAATAATGGGACTGCCAATATACTCCAACCTGCGAAAATCATTAGTCACCATCTTGGAAGGTGTAATGGAATAAGATGCAGAGGTTGGGGCTTACCGAGCGACACAACGTTACTAACGAGACCAACCATACCCATATCAAATTTACCTAATTTGATATGTGTTCGTCCACCAAGGAGCGAGACAGCAATCGGCATGGCGTAACTAACGGTCAAGCAAATAACACCGACACCAGTAAAAGCGTTGAAGGCTGCGGAAGAGCCAAAGTAAAGGACAGCGAGGATGATTTGGACCGCCATGGAGAGCATCATGGCATTTAATGGCACATCCAATGAAGGATTGATCTTTTTCCATAGTTGAGATCCCGGGATGGCACCGTCGCGTGAAAAGGCCCAAGTACAACGGGATGCGGCAGTGGTGCAACCAATTCCACAGAATAGAGCAAGGACCATAAGAGGGACCAAGAGTGCGAAGGCTCCTCCTTTGCTGCCGGTTGCTGAGACAAGAATGGTTGGAGTTGGTTGAGCAGACACAAGAGCGACAAGTTCTGCGAGATCGGGAAGGACGAAGAGAATTGGGATCAAGAAAAGTAAACCACAGATAGTGTTGAGGATGATCGTCCCAACCATGGCTCTTGGTACTTGGACGCATGGGTTTTGTACTTCTTCGCACATGCTACTTTTTGTTAGTGGGAAGTTGAAGATAAGTTTATAGGACTTTGAGGGTGGAGCTCACGAGATAATCATTCCAGTGGAAGATGTCGCATATGCTGCCTGCAATAGACCAATACAAAACGACCATCCTGCTGGCCAACCGCTCGAAGGCTCAAAGTGTCCAAAGACAAATGCAGCATCGCGCCGTCCGTTTTTGGCAATTACTAATACTGATATGATAATAGCAAAGAGTCCCGCAAATGTCCAGAAAATGGCAAAGGTCTGAAAAATGTGAGTTTTGGGAATGTCTCGAGACACAAAAGCAGACTACTTACATCTAACCATGGAAGCCACTTGTTACCGAGGGACGATACAAGATTGCAGAGAAGGGTGATGGCCACAAATATAAGAAATATCTGATAAGTCTCCCCAGCAAAGACTCCCACGCCAGGCTCAGATTCGAACACGTTAACGCAGGCAACAATAAACAGTGTGGTTCCGAAGTTGACCGACAAGGTGATCATTATGTTTCCGACAACGTAGAGCCATCCGCAAATCCAAGAAGCGATCAAACGATACGAGGGCGGTGTTATCATAAATGTCTGGTAGTAAACCCCTCCAGCCGTAGGATATGCAGAGGTAATTTCTCCCAGAGATATGGCAACACATAAGATAATTAACGACACCAAGACCCAGCCCCAAATGACGTTGGCAGGTCCTCCTCCAGCAAGCGGATAAAAGAGGGTAGTAGCGAGACCATATGGAATGGAGGCGAGCACAAAGCTCATAAAAGCCACCTGTAGCGTTGTTCGATTTCTAACCAATTCTGAGGTATATCCCATTGCTTCGAGCATATTGTCGGCTGAATGGCTCGAGCCACTCTCGATGCCATCAGGTTTCTTTTTGTCGATGGATCGTTTGCCCTCATTGCTGGAACTGTCAACTAAGACAGCCTTGTCGGCGCCTTGGTGGTTACTGGAATCCATTGTGGAAGATGTGACAGTGTAGAAGTACAAGAATGAGAGTAAACGAGAAGCGAAGTTCAGAAATACACAAGATCACGAGCTGGCGGGACATGAAAGGTTCTTTTGGAGCTTGCTCCTTGTCGAGTCTCGGCCCCTCCCAAATTGCCTTGATCTACGAATCGCCCCAGACCATATCTCGCCAAGGGCTTGTGTGCTGATTGACGTTATCGAGATAGAAGTTCAACAGGATTGTATTTTGTGATTGGATGATTCTCCATGATCCGCTTTCACAGATTCCATGCCAAGGAAGTGGGTAGGATGAACGTTGGGTGCAGCTCGGGGTTGGAGTCGTGAACAGTTGTGGAGCGCGGGCCTCATTCCGTTGGTAATGAACCAAAGTCTTAATCCATGAATCCCGCGCGCACAAATATCCACATTGAGGAAGGCTCAGCATGGAGTCAAGGACAAAATCGTCGTCACAATTCCACAAACTCCCCACGCAGCGGCCAAAGAGCAGGGAGTAGGGTTCCGGTATGGCCGTCGGATGAGCTTCGGCCTACAAGCTTTTCACACTTGTAAAAATCAAGCAACAAGTCAAATCGACACGTTGCGGGCAATAGATTTTGCCTTTCTTTTAAACAAGACATAAAAATTTAATAGCATGGGGATAAGTAAATGACCCTTGCCGAGCGACTCGCCAAACTGTTGATCAACCTTTTGTGTACTTGGCGAGTTTGTTAGACAAGTTGACAACCATGTTTGACATCGATACCCGGGTTGGAGAGAGAATTTGATGTGATACTCCTGAACAGAATTCCATACCGGGGTGCATCAGCTGTCACATTTCGACAAGCACTATCAATCAAGCCCTCACTGCAATGAGTAGATTCATTCACTAACTTGTGGTGATGTGGCTTGTAAGACTGTATTCACGTAGGCACTTCAACTCTCACGATTCTGACTTTGTGAAACTCTGGCGAAGGAAGAACTTGCCCTCAAGAGAAGGGAAATTCCTGGTTACTTCCTACGAAATATAGGAGTATATGAAATGAGTTGGGAGATTGAAACACAAAGCTAGAAGCGATGAAGTAGGAAATCGTACTACTCAATGAAAAGCAACTGTGCTGAAGAAACAAAGGTATAATAATTATGAACAATGTAGCATCAATATAAGTAATAAGTCTGGGTATTTGGTTGTCCTAAATTTCGTCAGATGAGAAGTCATAATTTGATACGGCCGACCTACGTCGCATTCCTCTCGTAATTAGGTCGTATAAATTATTAGTATCTGTTTTTGCAACATCCGTCGTCGTCATCTGAAAATACCCCCAAGCAATTCTCACACATCCGTTGAACCGTCGCTGCAAAACGGGCTTTCTTAGGACGACTAAGAAAGTTTTCAGCTTGCTCGATTCTAAATAATTATTAATGACAGTTCTAGCAACATGGATCAAAACTCACTTATATCCATCCATGCTTCTCTGTTTGCAGCATCCCTCACTACTATAGGGATCTCCTCCGCAATTCTGGCATACCTCCCCGTTGGTGATCTTTCTCCTGTTTCCCTTCGAAGCAAGTATCGATTGCCTCACAGCTCTGCGCTTAGGCTCCGATCTTTCAAACTCTCCACCAACGTCGATCTTCCGCTTTGGTGTATCATTTGTTACGGCAAGAGTATCCGGGTCTTTCGCCAAAGGACTCGAGTTCCCCAAATGTTGTTGCAACTTCGAAAGATTGCCTTGCGATAACGTCTTTGGTGTAGCCGCAGCTTTATCCTCCGGTGCCCGCGCCATCGGTTTCTGAACACATCTCTGGCGAACAAAATCATCTGCGCCCGGAACCTGCTCGCACATATCGAACAGTATGCTACGTAATTTCTCCTCGCTAGCTTTAGATAACGCGGTGGAGACTCTGGTGGTCAAGCCGACGCGAGGTGCCATTGTTGACGTTCTGGAAAGGGCATCGCTGGCCGGTTGACTGGATCTCGTGGAAGGCATTTCGAATTTTCGGCTATGGATATAGCAATAGTAAGGATTGTTGTGCAAATAGATGTGTAAAATTTGTGAAGCGTTTGTCGAAGAGAGGCTTGGTAAATCTGAATGCTGGGGATGTTGAGGTGGGAAACGCGACGCGACNGGGGGGTCAAAGCGTAAAGTAAATAAATACCCCACGTCTCGTTGCTGAGGGGTAAAAAACGGACGGAATCACCCGAGACTGCTTGGAAGACTATCAACATTGAGAGTTCTTCATGCGTCTTTATTCGAAGATTAATAACCCAGCAAAGAAAAAAAATCCAAAAAGAATGATAAGAGAGTACAGCGTTGACCGCATTCTTCAATACAAGAATTGTCCCACAGTATTGAGGTGAAGTTATGAAACTTGGAGTTAATGGATTCACTTGCTTGCTAAGCATATATAAAGAAAAGGATTAATCTGGAAGGTTGAAGTATTGAAATCAACTAAAAGATAATCAGAAAACAAATACAATGAAGTAATCAACGTCTGTCATATTTACACAGAGACCAAGCATTGGAGTCATTTATGTGCGATGCCTCCGTCTCTTGGATACGTGATTACCGTATTCGCGATGTTATTCTTCATCGCCATAATTTCCCACAAACTTCGCATAGTGGAGCTTCAGCATCCTGTTTCGAATGATCAGTTCTGGAAATGCTCGAAATTCCGGTGACACTCACTTCCTCAACGGGGACTGCTCTTCTCTTATATGTTGCTTCACCATCGTCAATACCTTTCCGTTGCTGGTTCTGGTTCAAATTCGTCTCCGCTTTCTTCGGCAAAGGTATAGTCTCTTTCAATAATCTCTCCAGCTGAGGAGTCGTATAAAGCCGCTGCTGTTTATTTGATGCACCTCGGTTGTCTACGTGTATTGTATCTGTGCTGATAGTTCTTGCTAAATTCTTGATGACAATATCTGTTGCATTGGGAATGTTCTGACATAGATCGAGTATGACAGACCATCTTTCTAATAGTTAGTGTGAAGAAATTTCGTAAGGATGCGGGAGAAATGAAGTAGTTCCAAAATGCCTCGTGGGGGCATGAAGAGATAGCAAAAGAGAGAGTGGAAGGAAGCCGGGGAATAATGAGAAAGGAGATGCTGACAATTTATCTTCATCCGCAGCATCAATTGTTTGAGCAAGTAAGGATTTTGAAGCCCCTGGTCGCTTCTGTTGAACAACTATTTTCTTCTGGTCCTCTAATTTCCGACTCAGACTTTTCGATGTTCCAGCGTAAGCGGTAGGACGTGACGAGGGGGGAACAGTTTTCACAGGCTCTGCAAAAGCATAGTCTCTATCCTCGTCTACTCTCTTCCTTTTTGCTTGAGGTGATTGAGGCTTCTTGGCCGATGTCACCTTTCTCTTGACGCAACCACCGAAGTTGTTGACGTCTATGACTACATATTTCGTCAGTAAGAACGATAAATTTCAAATGAATGATAGATACCGTGAAAGGAACACATATTGGTTTGATCATTCGAGCGACAGTTTGTACATGATCCACCGAAATGACCATTAAGTACAACACATTTGGGGAAAACACCGCGGCCCGCGCGGCACCTCTCACAGGGGGTGGCTGCTTCTGAGCCACGTTCATAACCCAGCACGCTTGAAAGTTGCCAGATCGATCAGTATTTGTAATGCTTTTATCTGGACGGTATGTAATTCGGCGTACGACTGGAAGTCTATTGATGGCTTGTGTAACAGTATTCTTCAATGCATGCTGCGGAGGTTGAAAGAGCGGATTGGGGTTTGGAGTTTTGGAGATGGGCGGGGCAGACGAGTACGCAGGCACGCTTGCTGGTGAGCGTCGTGGACCTGCTGGAGGGAACCCAGAAATGTGTTGTGATGGCATTATCCCAAAATTGGTGCTTCGTACGGATTCGTGAAGAGTACGTTGATATTGATTGTGCGGGGAATCTTAACGTTGCCTGACAAACTTTAGTCCGAAATACCAAAGCGGTCCAGCAGCTAAAAAAATCCAAGCGTACTCGTCATACAAGTAGATATAAATGTGACCGTGAGTTGGATTGTTAACCATTCAAACTGGTACATACATATTCTCTGTAACTGATGCTGCCTCGAATGAAAAGGGGGCCTCAAGGCGGGCCAAGGTCAAACGCATGATCACATGACTTTCTCCAAATTTCTTTTGGCCTGATTTTACCCATACGCATCTACAATCAACTCGTAATTCATCATTGCAAGACAGCTGTGGTAGTATCTAGCAGAAAAATGACATAAGACCTAGACCCTCAAGGTCACGTGTTCGCTCGTCCACTTTGTACCTGCCTAAAGCTTCATCGCGAAGTCACCATCAAGCTCGCAGTGCTGAAAGACAACGAACAAGGGACGCAGAGAAGAATCCAGTCCTAAGACCAATGCAATTCAAAGAAGTGAGAACCACTGAATACTCTCAAACGGAGGCAACTTATCACTTGAGCTCCATATCAGCAGATGGCACAGAACCCAAAACTGTGGTGGTTGTTTGATCAAACCCAGCCTCTATTCGTATCATTCCCTACAATCGACATCCGCATTTTCGTTTCTGATTACCTCGTACTCATGCGGGAAACTTTATAATATATGCCCATCCCTTCAATCCATTTCTTTCCCGCCAACAGCACATCAACTCGTCTTTTCTCCCCATCTTGATATCTGAACGGCCTCTACAAAATGACACCGCTCAATCCTCCATCCTACAACTGGACATCCCCCCATCCCGGTATATATCATCGACCAGCCCTATCAACCGAGTCTCTTTGGTTTACGCGACCCAAAGATCTCCATGAGATGTTCATTACCTCGCACCTCACATTCTCCCGCCCGCATACACATTATCCTAAAATTAGGCTTAAGGAAGCTGCTCGGCGGGCTTGGAAGAGGTTACGGTTTGAAGTACCGGAGTTGGGTATACGTGCTGTGATCAACGATGGAGAGGTATTTTTAGAATACAAAATGCTTGACGAGGTGGGGGTTAGAGGGTGGATTAGTAGGACGTTGTTTTTTGGGGAGAGCGAAGGAGATTATGAGTTTGAGAGTTTGCGGAAAGATATTGTGTCGAGGAAAGATTGTGAGGAGCAAGCTTCCGTATTGTTGAACTTCGAAACACGGGATAGCGCGGTGTTTGGTGATAGGGGCGAGGAGCTAGTCGATGGCGTTTATCTCATTCTTAATACTGATCACCAAATCACTGACGGGATTGGGACGAGGATTCTATTAGGGAGATTCTTAGAGCTGTTTTCACAGTATGTCAGAGTTGAAATGGACTGCAAAGAGAACTTGGTTTGGGAGGATAGTTATAAAAATCTAACACAGCCTTGGATTGGGATGTTGGATGGGATGCAGAAACTTGAAGGGAGGAAGTCTGTCGAAACTTGTGAGAGAAACAGAAATCACCTCTTTCATGAAACCGTAATTCCCCCTCGACTCTTTTCATTTCGAACTTCCCGCATCTCTTTGAACAGAATGTTCCTAACCTCACCCAAAACAATCTAGTCAGCGAAAATCAACCCCTCACTTCCTCTCAAAGAATACCTACCATTCTCACCAACATCATCCCCTCACCCAACTTTCCCCCAAGTTTCAACTCAAAAAACACACTTCCTAACTCTCCCGCCTGAAGAAACCACCTCAATCCTCACAGCAGTCAAGAGATTCTCCAAAACCGCAACAATCACCCACGCAGTCCACGCAGCAATGGTACTTACTCTTCTCTGCCCTTCCTTCCAGCAATCGCCATCACCGGAGCTCTCAACATTCAACTCTTCCTGTTGGTTCAACGGTCGTCGCTATCTCATGCCAGCGGAGCAAATCTCATATATCCCACCTTGCCAATCCTTCTTCCCAATATGTTTTACTGATCTCCAAGATCTACGCCTGACTAAAAATCCGGGCAGGGAAGAAAGACGTGCGTTAATGTTGAGGGCTTTGGAAATAACTATGGGGCAGTACCTGGCGTTGAAAGAGGAGAGAGGGTGAGGGCTTTGTAGTACCATCACACTTATGGAGGAAATTGGCTGGGCTATGAGAGGGAAGAATGTAGTCAAGGAAGAGGATGAGCGTGGTAAAGGAGAGAAGATGGAGCGATTTGCTGTTCCTGTGAGTAATCTATTTCCTTGTTTTCCTTGTGATCTTTTATGGGTTGGTTGAGCTAATCAACCTTCTAGCTTTTCTTATCAGATGGTATTACGGAGAATTACATCGCTCGTTCCTACCCTAACTCTGGAACTGCAATCTCATCAGAGAACGAAAGATACAAGACAAGTCAGATTGAGGCTGGGAGGCAAGATATTCTTGTGGTTAGGGATGTACATTTTGGTGCGAATGCTGGCGATGAAGTGTTTGTACCCTCTTCCTGCCTATCCCTATGTGCGAGTGTCTTTTATCTGCCTGCTCTGTCCATCTCATCACGAATCATTTTCTCTCCATTGACGACAAGAAACTCACTACAAATAGCATCCTCAGAATAGCGACTTTTCGCTCCCAATTGAGAATTTCCGTGGAATGGAAAGAAGATTTATTCGATGGAGTTATGGTCATGAAATTCTTAGAGGAAATCAAATGTGTCTTGTTGAGTCTATTGTAAGTGTCAGGTATGTCTTGGCTCCAAAATACACCCTTGCTGCTCTAATTGCAGACTCTTTCTGCTCTAAAACTTATTACCGATATAATTCCGTCTTCGCCTTTCAAGTACTTATTACTCCTTCCTTCTAGCTCCTAATTTAAGCTAATCGATCTCTAACTATCTAGAAATTTCACCACACCAATGTAATTATACGAACAGTAATTCCAGGTGCAGCGTCTCATTTATACGAATCGCCAGAAGAACAGCCATACTTTCAGGGAATAAACAAACTACATCGTCTCCATGTACATACTGGAATGAGATGAAACACCTATGGAGTGGCGTACGTACCGTACATGGATCAGTCCCAACCCACACATTCGTCAGTAAGCAAACTTTCGGATGATCATCATTCCAAGACTTACCATCAACAAGGAATGATGGGCAAAACAGAGCATGGGAAGAGATGACACAAGACATAGGACGAGACAAAAGAAACCCACGAGAGAATTCAATTCCCGTCTACAATAAGACGCCTTACACAAAGTCTCACCCCAGTAAAGATCGCATGAAAAACTGAAAGCACTTGCGAAGAGAAGGATGACATACTTCGACGTGCGGTACAAAGCAGGGCTTTTGCTTTGATGAAACCCCAGTGACCAAACAACCCAAAAGGAACGTTATGCTTGTACGATTCCAGAAACCCCTCTCCCCAGACCCCAAGTACTGTATCTACTTCACAAGATACTCCCCATGTAAGACCTTACCCCCGGCTCCCTCCATCATTCAAACCAATTACAAACCAGACCATCGAATACCAGATATCCCAGTATCCAAAGACCTTCTGTATCTCAGTACATGCAAGCCCGCCTGAAAAGTAAAACATCGATCACGAGGAACAACTAAAAAAGTGTGCTCATACATACCTACATAGAGAATGTGTTGGATATAGCTAGTACCATATTATCCGTCCCACTAAGCTAGCTACCCAGTCCCAAATGACGTACCAGGCTAACTTATTAAACCGCACAATACCCTTCAAGTCCAGATTCAACCATCCCATACCCATCTCCTTCATCCTCCATACAACAATCCCGCAGCGACTCTCCCTCAGTCTCCCCACGAACAACGCGTTCGTTCGGCCTCTGAAAAAAGAATTAGGCTTGGTTTCACTCAATATTTACTTTCCTTTACGCCAGGATTCCTCCGTCCCACTCCGCAGAAAGAGGGTCAGATGCGGAACTAGGAGGGTACAGTACATTTGTACAAATTATAGTAGATTAGGCAAATTCCACTCGTCCTTCGGGACTAGGTAGCGCAGTGGTCAAGAATAGACAACTCTACCTACTGTACAATCTAGTATCTTCCGCACCTCTTCATACCCAAACCCAGGATCCTCGCAGCGCCAAGGTCAAACGAAGCCGGGATGGGAAGGATGTGAAGCGCCGTGGTCCTGGCTGGGCATGGTCTATGCACTGTACTGTAGTGGAAGTGTAAGACGACTGTCACAAAGCCATCGTCCCAATGGCGGCTGCTGTCATCCGAGTCTCGTCTGACTGGTCCTGAGAGACTACTGTGTTGGATCATGGATGAACAGTGGGTGGGATGGAGGTGGTAGTTCTTGATGTTGTGTGGGAGTTGAAGTAGTGGGTTGGGGTTGGTGGTTTGGTATGCGCGAGGAGGTGGGGAATGTGAGTGATGTGCTTTTATCTTGATATTAGCTTACAGGATTGTCTTCTGATGAGATGTCATGATGGTGATGGTGGGGATGAACCGCTTAAAGGAGGCATGAGTCGGTTTAGTCATTGGAGCATAAGACGACGTATGGGGTAGTCATTGCTTAGATACCCCAATCTAGTTTAATATCCTCTCGTCTCGATGTGGAGTTCTTCCTCGTCCCTCGGATCCCTAGAGGCTCTTATACTGAGATTGTAGATACTCTGAAATTCGAGTTACTGTTAACGTAAAAATCTTTCACAACTAAACTCATTCGACATTCAAGATGTTTGGAATAATCAATAATATCTGAATTTTATCTACTAAGGTAAGCCAGGACAACCAAGTTCTTTGTGCTAGAGCTCCTATAATATACATCACCAACCACATATCTTACAATCACCGCCTACAAAGTTCTCAGAAGACCATCACGTCCGCTACACCAAAGAAACAGTCGATAACACCAGAGAAACCAAAAATCACAACCACCACGAAAAACCACAAAAACAACTAGGTTTTGACATGATATTTATAATAGCCGGAATTCAAAATATATAAAGAACATAGTGGGGTATGAGTATGAGTCAACCATCCAAGCTCCCAGCCCTCCTCGTCTATTCCTCAAGAAAAGAAAAAAGTGGAGAAAGAGAAAAAAATAAAGGTGCGTAAACACACTACAAAGATCCATCAGCATCTAGCTCATCCATCCATCCATGCGCGAACTCAACACCAGTAGAGTCGTCCATCTTCTCTATCATATCAAAAGATCTATGAGCAATTACTCTGAGGAGCTGGGGTCGCAGCCGCCTTCTTAGCCGTCGCGAAGGTCGTAGGAGTAACCTTGGGAGGAGCGTTTCCAGCGGGAACAGCAGCAGCAGCAGCAGCCGCAGCCGGAGTAACAGTAGCAGGAGGAGCCGCAGCACCACCACCACCACCGCCCATCTGGAAATCAATGCACGACTCGTAGGTCTGATCGATGGAGCGGGCATCCCAGAAGTGCTGGATGACACAGCTCCCAGCCGTGGCGCACTTGCTCTCCAATCCGGTAGGAATGGTGAAAGAACCGGTCCTCTGATCCTCCGGGATCGTCTTTGCGTTGTCGGCAAACATGGCGAAGGAAAGGAGTGGTTCGCCAATGATGCTATTGGTCGCGGTATCGATGACGGAGATGTTGGCAGTACCGGTGTGAGGAGCGCGGATGTCGAATTTATATGGGACGACTTGGCCAGCCGTGTAGGTCTGGATGTTCTTCGCGTTGTCCGCGAACTGGAAGCCCTTGCAAAGGAAGACGTTGCACTTGACGGGATCAAAGTCCTTTTGGGACTTTGCAACTTGGAGCATGCCCTGGATGTTACCGCCGTTGTCGGAGGCTTGGTTGCTGAAGACTTGGTTTCCGCATACTGCTTTCATGGCGTCACCAGCGATACGTGGTGGTGGGGAGGCGAGGAACCCGTGGCCAGCGACGTTGGTGATTAGGCCGGCGGCTGCGGCGAGAACGAATGACGAGTATTGCATATTTGCGGTTGGTTGTGTATATTTGGTTTAGTTGGGTGAGAGGTTGTCGAGAAGTAGTGACCAGCAAGGATGGAAAGAGTGAGATTGATGATTGATGGAAAAAGAATGGAATGGTCAGAAGAACCGAAAAGGAAATTGCTCAGCAATAGATTCTCTGAGAGGCCGAAAAGTTGCAAATAATCCAAAGTCTTATTATCGATACGCTAATAAACCTTGCCACTATTGTTGTTTTTCGGCGACAAAACCTCTCTAATGAACGTGTAGACAAAAAATTGAAGGACTGGAAAGGAAAAAGAAGGGACAAAAGCTTACATATATACCACAGCAAAGAAAAACGAAAACGAAAGAACCCCCGGCATCCCCACTCACCTACCTCCTCGCCTAAGTCGTCTAAGTGATAAGATGAAGGGTGTTGCGCAGTACTGTTAGTACCACGTGTAAAGGTTCCGAGGTCACCCAAACGGTTTCCACGAATGAGGCCAGCTTCCTCTCGGGCAGGAAACAAATCCTACGCATGAGAAAATGCCATTGTGCCCTCCCTCTTGCATTACTCTCGTCTCCCGCGGTATGTGTGTCATCATAAACCCTGACAAGCGGCTCCTTATTGCTTGTACAGGCTTGTGCAGCATAAGTCTTGTGGGCCAAGATGGTGCACGTTGCACTCTGCAGTTATGCGGCTCCACAATCTTCAGACGAAGAGGAGCAGTGTAAATTTGAGAGTGGCGGTCGCCGATCGGGCCAGTCGCCGCTTGGGGAGTTCTTCATGATATTGGCATGCGGCTAGGCACTGTATGCGCGGCAATGTACGGAGTAACAGTCAAGAGCCTGCGAGTGTGCGAGAACGTGACGTTGTGCCCCATAGCCATGTTTCACCATGTTTTGAATAAAACCATAATAATCACCAGAGAAGAAATGAACGTGGGTCACCACGTTCCTTTTTTAAGCCTCCATGCAAGCTGAGTAATCAATTCCAGTGACAACAGACGAGCGGCCACCAATGAGAGGCTACCAAATTCATATGATCTTCAAATTATGATGTCCAGTGCAGGAATACCCACCCGCCAACTCGGTAGTGGGTGGGAAGGGCGCTGCAAATGGCGTAAATCAAGCATCCCACAATCCTTATCCAGACCTCCCAAGATCCAAGTTCGTACGATCCAAGATACGAAAAAAGAAATCATCTAAAAACGCCTGATCCAAAACATCGTTGCACAAATCCGCATCCAAAACTCCGCGAAGGAGATCAATCACTGGATCTCCCCTTTCTAACAAACTCCTGTCTTGTATGCTTCTCGAATTAGCCTATATCATATGACTCCTCATACCGGTAGCCCTTTCAAAGTCCCTTCAAAAGAATTTGACGTGTCGATCCAAAAGCCAAAATCTATCGACAAATGGGAAAGGTCCCTTTTGCATCAGTTCTCGACAACGGAAGGTGATTCTCAGGGTACAGGGACTCGTAGTTTGTCACAAATACTACTGCATGCGACGAGGTTGTAATTACGATAATACTTCGTATGTGGGCAGTCTCGTAGTGTTACGAGGCATCAAGGGTACTAAGGATCGTACGGTAAAGTGGCTGGGGCGCCTGGTCACTTCGATGCCGTGTATCATTTTTTCGATGCCGTATAACATTTGGCAAGTTTAATTCTCACGGTATTAACGGACGACCAGGAGAATACTAATGAGCGAACCAGTCGCTTCAGCGGCGGTGTCTTTCCGAATTTCCGAATTGGTAAGCGAGTCCATGGTCATTATCTAGCCAGATCAGGACAAAAGGTGGACCATGCCATGGCATCTGGATCACCCCCGAAGAATTTTCATCTCATGTCAGGAAGGCTGAAGTCGATCGACACTGTACAAGTATCACGGAACCTTTTAGTCCGATCCCTTCTTCAATTCGCTTAATTTCTGTCCGGATTATAAATTATTGTAAAACATCGAAGATCCGAAAAGGTTATCTCGCCGCCTTTCCCTTGCCATCACCACTCCTACTCTTCTGCAGATTCATCTCCTCAATCCTCCTCGTTCGAACTCTCTGCAACGATCGTGGTAACGCCTCTTCCTCAGCCGATTTTTGCTGATCACTCTTCTCGTTTTGCAAATTCCCAACCATCTCCTTGTTCCTGGAGAACGTCGACCTCCTGCGTCGTCTGATCTGAGATAATTTCTCAGTATTCTGCTTCTCGGTCATAACATCTCTTGCTTCCGAAGTCTCATCATCCCCATCAATGGCCATATTGATATTGGTTTGTGTTTCCCTCTCCTGAACCGGCTCCGCCCCCCCCTCAATGCGATCGCCGTCCCGATGCGTCGGGCGAGTGAGCATTCCACTTCGGAACTCATTCGCACCTACAAGCAATTTTGTCAGATCAATTAGTTCCTCCAAAAATTCAATGACCTCAATTTGTCCCGCTGATGCTGCATTCCATGACAAGAATTTTTGACGTATCACCTGCTTGACCATGGACACTTCGATGTCCGAGCGCGAACGCGAAACCTCATCGTGCTCCTGGATCGCAGTCATGCCTCGTTCCATCACCACTTCCCGTACGCGATTGACCATACGAAGATGCGACAGCCGAGCTGAAGGTAGAAACTGTGGCAAGGGTAGCTTTGTAGTGAGAGCTTCGTGGGCTGCAAAAAGAGTAATGGTTATAGCACCAGCCACATTCCGCCGATAGGCAAAAACCTGCGTATTGAGTTCCTCCAAAACTCCAGAGCCATACTCTCGACGAAGATGCATCATATTGTCCATTCTTTCGACGATTCCATGGAGAACATATAGTATCTCGGTATACACGAGAGCAAGTCCTTCGAAAGACCCCTTCAAACGCGGCTCGCTTGCACAGAAAGGGAGGAACGTTTGTGCAGCTGTGAGGGCACCTTGCGCTTTCGATTTAGCATGATCGAACCGTTCTGACACAATATTGGATCGTATGTCGATATTCTCCTCAGCATCAATTCCATAGGCAAGGCAGGCTTCCATCTCGATGATTTGACCAATAGATGATGCCAGACTCTCTACGAGTCTATCTCTTGCTTTTACCGGGAGAAATACCGCCTGTAAACCCAAAGCAACCGCACCACCAATCAAAAAAGCAATAAGTCGTTTGAGGAAATTCTCAGTAGCAGTTCCCGGAACAGTAGCATCTAAGGTGGCCAAGCATACCACGGACATGGAAACGATTGATACCATGCCCGCTTTCACATATTTGCTACCCAGTTGAACATAAGTCGATGGTATGATACCAATAACGAGAATGACGACGGAAACTATCCGATTTCCATTGTGAGCTTCATATGCGACATAACCCCTTGAGATTCATGTTAGCAGTTGATTTATATATGCTGTGCTCTTGAGTATCACTTACCAAATACATCCTATTGTTGTTCCGACGGCTCTGACGGAAAATGTCACCACTGAAGTGCCGATTGCGACTTCCGATATGAGGATAAGTTGTAGTGCAGCCCATACTCCGCGATTCAGTGTATACCATGTACTCCATTGCTTGACAAATGCAGGGAAAGTGACAAGAAATACGGCTATGGTAAGCTTGAGGGCATAGATAGCATCATCACTACTTGTAGCACCTTCAATGACATCAGCCAGACCATTTCGTAGACGGAACATCAGGCTCTTCTTCTTTGGCGGCCGACGTGACCATGACCTTCTCCTTGGTGCATTTGTGATGCTTGGTGCTATCGAAGGATTACGGGAAACTGAACGATGGCGGGACAATGAAGGATTGCGGGATCCTCTCCCTCTTACAGGAACCGCTTCGATATCGGGCTTGTATTTTTCCAAGAGATTCTCGTTACTTGCTGAAGATTCCACATGCTCTGGTTCATCTGCTTTCTTGTTGCCCATTCGAGCATCTTTTCGCGCATTGTCGGGTAAAGCAAGCATGTCCTCTTCGCCTCCTGACAGCAACCATTTTCGCCAGTTGATTTTGGGTGCATAAAGACGCCGCCTCTCATGGCGAGCCTGTCGTCTTTCAACAATGATGCGGGAGTGATTAAGCATTGCTAATGTATGCAGTGCAGCCTGCCGAAGATTGAGAAGAAACAGTGAAATCAGAAAAGTTTCCATTCGTGGCATGACATCTACATCTGGATGCTCCTGGTCACGAATCGATGCAGCACCTTCGAGGGCTGAAGCGGTATTTTTGTCGAAATCACCAAGTGCTTCCACCAAGATATCGACTCTAATATCAATCTCTTGAAGATGGATGCCATGTGGTGCACGAGCGCCCGATGGTAGTCGAGGAACGTCATAACAGTAAGCAAGACATGAGGTAACCACATCAACGCTTCTATCAATCTTTTCTTGTAAATCCTCCAACGGCTTGGCGATTCGATGAACTAGATATCGCAGAAGTTCAATATCTCCAAATTCAATCTCCTTCTTTGGCTTGACGAGTTCGAGATCTTCGAGTTTTCTTTCTCTTCTCAGCTTACTTCTGCTCCGCTTCCTGGGCGTTCTGGTTTTGCTGTGGCCCCTCGAGGGTCTTCTCTCATGTTTGTCGTCTGAGGAGTACCCAGCACTACTTGCTCTGCTCGCTCGACCGCTAGGTGATTCCATGCCGTGCCTTGTCCTCGCTGATTCTCTCACCCTTTCCTCGTCTTCAACAACAGGGACGGGCGTCTCGGGTGCGGGCTTGTCAGGCGTGGCTTTGTCGTTCTCGTCACCCATCAAGGCGTATTTGCTCTCGCATGCTCCAATAAGAGCAATGGCATTTTGTACCAGCTTGTTCATGGCGTGAACACTGATCGGTTTCATGGCTTCTGGCGGTAAGACTGAGAATGCGAGCTCAAAATTGCACTCTTGTTGAGCAGCTTTACAGCCTGCCAGCTTTGAACGAAGTTTTGTCTTCTTATCCGTCAATGACTTAAGTGTTACGGTCTTTGGTGTCTTGTTTTTGACTTTGGTCTTGGTAGTCGTCTTGTGGAAGAGACGTGTGCATCTTTCGAGAAGGGTTAAAGTTTCCTTCGTCTGCGATACCTTCGGTTCAAGAACCAAAGGGGAATGTTCCGAACCACTCGGGGCAACCGGTGTCATTTTCTTCTTCCCAGATTCATCGCCAATGTTGATGAAATATCGTCCGGCATCTCGTAGAGTATCAACCGTCTCCCCCAATGTTTCAATCGTAGTGTCTCCAAGAAATTCCCCTGAGAACTCGGGAAATACCAGAACATTAACCAAGATCAAAACGGCAGCCGCTGTCAAAACTGGATATAGAATCTGGGTTGCCGCTGCTTTGGTAACATGTCCCGTCGGACTTATCAGAGTGACCACGGCTACAATAACCAGTAGGAGAAGGAACATAAAGAGACGAGGCGTGTGCGACCGGAAATATCCGTGGAAGAAGACGGCAATGGCTAAAAAGATTCCGCGGATGGTGTTGGCTTCGGGCGAATCTCCTGGATATGATACGCTGGATAAGTAAACGCCAAATAACGACCAACCGAGTCCAGCCAACGTGCCCAAAACAATCAAAACCAATCCTTCTGCCATCATTCCGAATCGTCTGCCGGGATGTCCGAACACCGTCACCATCGGAGCGAGGTATGTTGCCCTTCCGAATATGCGGACGACGGGCGGGAGGAGGGCGATGATGACGGCGATGGTCGTTGCGATGGTGTTTTTCATCATCCTCTGCCAGAGGTTATTCTTCTGGAGGTTCTCCCATATTGCGGTGGCTCTCTTCTCCGCCCACCCTTCCAGTTTCTTGGAGTAGTTCATCTTCTTCTGTTTTCCTCCTGTTCTTCTTCTTTTTTCTCTCACTCTCCTCCCTTAATCCAAAACCTAGGTAGGTATATCTTTTTCCTCTATCCGTATTCCAGCGTCCTGTGATCCCGCCGTACTTAGCGATGGCCTCTATCTGGGCAATATGTGTATATCCAATTCCTCCAATTCAATAATTCCAAAAGAAAGGCGTACCGTCATCGTAATCGTCTCGAGAGTCAAAGTACCAAAAGTATGGGGAAAGAAAAAGAAAGAGGAATCACAGATGGACAGCGACGCTCCGTATTTGTATACCCAAAGAGCAGGTCAGGCAACGGAGTCGGTGAAGAAGTGGAGGTGGATTTTCTGGCACAGGCACTCTACAATTTCGTCGCCATGGTAATTTGGATTGCTTCACTATGCGCAAGTCTCATTGTGATGGCTTTTCAGGGCAGGAGACCCTCTGTGCAATTTTACGTAGTGGACCTCGAAAGTCTATTTTACCCCTAAGCAGCCCTCCAGGCCCTGTCCCGAGCATCTTGACGTCGGTCCAGCGATCGTGCTCACGACTTAGCTTATCCGGCCCCATCTCAATGCCCAACCTTGATGTGCCTCACCAGCTATTTACGGTGACCGCGTGCATTGGGCCGTCATTGGGTCATCGAAGATGAGGTAGCGAGGTCACTGAAAACAACCCCGCCATTGCCCTGCTGGTACTGACAACTTCAAAGACGAATCTTCAGGTAGCAGCATCGAACCACAGCAACGTACATCCCCAAACACTCACAACTCCCAGTTGTCGGATACACTGAGCGCATCAGCATCATGGCTCCCTCATCCACCATAATAGTAAGTAAACCCTGCCTCCCAATGCCCAATAACAACAGCTCACCCAACCACCCCCCAGACGAAGCTCAAAGTGCAGCTCAAGCTCTCCATCGCCCGCCTCCGCATGGTCCAACAAAAAGACGAAGCGGTATCCAAACAACAACGCCGCGCCATGGCCCAGCTGCTCGAATCCGGCAAAATCGAATCCGCGCGCATCCGCGTAGAAAACATCATCCGCTCCGACATCACCACCGAACTACACGAGATCCTAGAGCTGTACTGCGAGCTACTCCTCGCGCGCACCGGACTGATGGAAGGACCAGTGTGCGACGCAGGACTGGAAGAAGCTGTCAAGAGCCTGATATATGCTGCCCCGCGGACGGATGTCAAGGAGCTACAGCAGGTCCGCGCATTACTGGTCGATAAGTATGGAAAGGAGTTTGCGCTGGCGGCTATGGAGAATAGTGATGAGAAGGTGGCTGAGAAGGTACTGAAGAAGCTTGCTGTCACGCCGCCGGCGCCGGAGTTGGTAAATGGGTATCTGGAAGAGATCGCGAGGACGTATGGCGTTGACTGGCCCAAGAAACCGAAAGAGGAGTTGGGGGAGCCGCCCGAGTACGTGGATAGCGATGATGACGAGAATCCGAGTGGTGGACAGGCACAGAAGGTCTTGGAGGAACCGATCGCTGCAAGTGGCGCAAAAGTACGGGCAGAGGAGAGGGAAGCTTTGAGTAAAGCGACCCCACCGAGGAATTTCGGTCCTAGCAGTCCATTAAGGGTAAATCCACCGAGTCCTAGCACCGATAATCTTCATCCCAGGGTGAAGGGAACTCTGGACTTGAAACCTACGACTAAACCCCAAAGCACACCTGCGAAATCTGGCACACAGAGCAAAGGGCCGGTGGGTGGTACAATACCTGACGTGGACGAGCTGGCAAAGCGTTTTGCGGCACTGAAGAAATAGAGGTGTGTTACGATGGTTTCGGTTACCTGGCGTTTGGGTTCTGAGGTAGGTTGGGGATTCAGCGGATATTCATGCATTGTCAGTATAGCGGGTAGAGCCATTTCGGATTTAGTTATCTCATGAAGTCTGGTTTATGTTCCTACGAATGGCGAGAGTAAGGAACTGAAAATCTTTTTTTTAATCATATCTGCCCAGATATGCCATCCAGGAAATCTATACATCTCTCTCTACTCTTCAATAACCCATCCCAGAAATTCCCACCTCCAAAAAATAACAGATCCCAGACCTATCTACTCCCTCACCATCGTCTCCCCCTACCCCTCCTTCACACAGGAAGCACAATAGTATAACAAGAATCTCCATTTCCATCTACTCCCTCACCGTCGTCTTTCCCTATCCATCCTTCCCACAGAAAGCATAACAGTATAACAAGAATCTCCATTCCCATCCCATCTCCTCACTCCCCTTCCAACAACCCCCCCCCGTCTTATCTCCTCCATCTCCTCTCCCTACATCATCCTCTCCATCTCCGCTATTCCTTCCCTTCCCCCCCCTTCTATACTCTACGAAACCAACAAACCAACAAACCATCAACCCATTCTCCCCTAATCACGTTCTAAGCACCTTAATCACTTCTCTATCAACGATAACACCAAGATAGAAAATACAGTAGATAACTATAATACGTTTTTCTTCATTCTGTAAATCGTGTATCCTGGACATAAGATTACAAGCCTAGTTCCTCGCTGCTACTGCTGGTCAAGGGTTGGGGAAAGAGCTGGACCCTGGTGAATTATAGATGAGATGGATATGTACTGTATGGGTTGATTTGGGTTGGGCAGTTGTGATTTTGTTGGCTTTTGGTTTTGGGTTGTGAGGGGTGAGAGGGTGAGAGGGGGTGAGAGTGGTAAGAGGTGGGTTAACGGGTTTAGAGATGAGAGATTATAGAAGAGGTGGAGGGAAGGGGTTGATAAGTTGTAGATGGAATGGAAAACTCATCTTCCTGACTTACCTATTTCCCGGTCTTTCAGAGGCTCAGAACTAACCTTCCTTTCGGTCGCAGGATATATTAGAGTGTAGCCATAAGAGTTTGCTTACTCGTAGTCCATATATACATGTAATGATGGGGCCATGTCGTGTTGCAAGACGAAACGAAGCCTTTCTTGCAATTTGCAAATGATGTTGAAATTTCGTCAAGAGCTGATGTCTTGCTACCTAGCCATGGGGTATACTTCAGAGATGTAACTTGCTTCCGCAAAAGAAATGTCGCTAAAACTCCCGCCGTAAACTGTCGACTGATGCAAATGTGAACTGCCACAACTCCCCAGAATCGCTGCAAAATACCTTGCAAGAAGAAGGATTTTGTGCCTCGCCATGAACCGGTGAAGAAACTATTCCTTAAGAACTTAACAACCTTCGAAGCTCCCTTCGATAAACCCCAAGTAGCTTCTCCTCTGCATCCTCTCCTCCGTCTTCGTCACTTTTAAGCAATTTGGCGAGATACTCGGGATCGGAACACAGGTGTAGCATTCCAATTCCAGCAAAGCGGTCACCTTTCGCTCGACCAACGGCTTCTAACCAGGGACAGAAATCTCGATAAACCCAACGAGCCTCGCGGATATCAATCACTTTGCTTGAGCGGAAGTCTCCGCGGAACCAATGTCCCGTGAGACCCTCGATAGCCAAGCGCTCGAGATTAGTAGTCAGAGCTAGGAGTTCCACGGCGGAAAAGGTAATATTTCTGAGTGTGCCGGAGTTGCACCAGCCTACGATGGTGATGTCGCGCAGTAGGGCTGAGTGTCGACGACCGATTTGGGCGAGGAAGGCGAGAAGGGCACTGTTGTCGGCTACCACCATAGGGCGGGAATAGAGGATTGCGGCGGCTTCAGCGTGAATGGTCTTTGAGACGGCGAGGAGATTAGGTGCGAATACTCTCTCTTCTGAGTCGTTGTAACTCTTTGGTTCGCTGTCGTTGCGGTGAATGTATCGGTAGCGAGATCCATTGTACTGTGGGATAGTAGTGTCGTACGTAGCGCGTATTGCTACACGGCATTGAGACTTTTTCTTGCTGGTGACAAAGATGGGCAGAGAGGGATTTCGGGATCCGATCAAGACCAAATCATAGATCTTGTTTCTGAGTTCCGCTGGCAAGTCCCTGGAAAGTATAGTGAGCAGACACTCAGGGTCTGGAGTTGTAAATCAGGCTTACATGAATGGGAAGATTTTGTGCTTGGCAAGAGGCTTGGATTTCTTGTGTTGGGAGGTCTTGCGTCGCCGCGTGTTGTCAGTTGGAGTTGTTTGGATAAAGTCGCTCGAAATCTACATACCTCGGACTGCGGCTCGAAGGCCTCTTCTTTATCCAGCATATTATCATCGTTAGCTTGCTCGGTGTAGCATACTTGGGTACTCTTGCGTTTAGAGTAGCGTGTGCCAGAATCACCAGATGCCACGGGACCGGTTGCTGGCAAAGCAGAAGTCATGTTGTGGTTTGCCAAAGACATGTCCCTGGTTTGGTATGTGGTATGATCGAGAGTAGGGTTAGTGAGTAACATCATTGTTTTTTCTCCTCAGTCAGCCCTCTCGAATTGGCATATCTATTACATCTACCCCCACTCCTCGTCCTGTCATCAGGGACGAAACTCTCTTATTCTCATATCCCGGATACGTTCCTGTTTCTATGCTGCTACATCATCCAGCTACTTTTCTCTACGCCACGAATGTCAGAAGACGAGTACATAATGTGAGAAAACAGCAAGCATAGAGAGAGAAGCTGGCTGGGGAGCGAGCAGCGCTCTAATATATAGGTCATTTGGCCGGCTGGAAATGTCCGAAACAGAAGTAGCGCCTTCCATAGAATATGCTAGTGCCAGACAGAGAAACTGGGAGTGATTGTGCTATAACAACGGTATTACGTTATCAGACTTCAGAAGTCAATAGCAGAGAATTGAGAAATAAAGACATAACGGTATTACTGATATGTGAGAAAAAGAGTATGTGTACGATACAACGCTCAAAGTTCATGTCAATCAATATCTCTATTCTCAAGTCCCTTTCTGTTTGGATCGTATCTTTTCCGCCATGTCAAGAATCGCAAAAATAGTTGCAAAGATAACATAGACATTGTCCAATATCTTTGAAACAAAATTCCCGACAAGGAGATATACTCCTCCAACGCAAGAGAGGGGTTTCACACTCTGATATCAGACAATACATTTGGCATCTACTTTCTCCTTCCACCAACATACACCTTCCCAAGTTAATAGAAGACATAAACACATCACAATATCAAAGAATCAATCAAGCACCACGAAAGCACAAAGCAGTACCATTCACACCACCAGGGAAAGCCTAAGAATCCAAGAAACCAAAAGTCATACCATTCATCCACCACACCTCATAACTCATAACTCATAACCAACCCAACCCAACCCTCACTCCCACCACGCCTCGCCTCAAAAATAGCATACAGACTACGGTATCCCCACGCACCCACCCTCCCATCAAAACCATAAACCAAAAAATCCCATCACCCAAGCGTTAAAACACATGAACCCCTTTCCAAAAACGACCGTAACCAAAAGGACCGCCATCCCACCAGACCCCCAAGTTAACCACGCAATATCATAGCATCAAAATATGCGAGTTCGCAGACCGGAGGATCTTGTCATGTCTTCGTTTGGGAAGGGAGATGGACGGTATCCAGGAGGTAAGTTTTTATTGTGGGCAGGACTAGTCAGCCTATTAGCAAAGAACCAAGAAAGCGTCGCAGAGAAAAGAGGAGACTAGAAGGGATAGAAAGAGAAGAGAAAACATACAGCACCACAAGAGCCACAGCTCCTACTTCCATCACTAGCAGCACCACACTTAGGACACGCGGAGCCGTGCATATTGTCTTTCCGAAGGTATTCCTTTTTGTGCTTGATGAAGGTCGATCGGTGTATTGGTATCCAAGTCTATTCAAGTTCGTAAGTATCTCCGTGGGCAAAAGGTGTAGATGGGATCGGTTTACTTACAAGTTTGTTAAAGAGGTTGACGAGAGAGAAAGGTTAAGATGGTCAGCAGAAATAGGCAGCAGATGAGGGGTAGATAAGCAAGTGTCAAGTCTCTCGAGACGAGTAATGAGTGCTGCTTACTTAGCTAGCTGCAAGTCATCCCACCGGGGACAAACCCCGCACCACCTGCAAGCTCAATGGTGGTTGGACGTGGGGTGGATCCCATTGCGGTAGATTAAACGAGTTCAAGGACCAATCTCCGCTCAGCAAGTGGGAATGGGTGGTCTCGTGAACTATGTCTTCCCAGAAACTCTGTGGTGCCTATCGGTTTTACTTTCACCCGTTCAGGTAGGTGTACAATTTTGTCATGTACGCTCCGTACTCGTACATTGTGAAAGTGCAAGAGTGGAGAAAGTGGGACTTCGATACGGTAAGATTACAGTACGCTACAGAAGGTCAAAGATTATAGTGTAGCCGCGCTCAGAGCTGCGGTGAATATCAATTTCGTATCAAATCAAGGTATAATCACCAAAGGTCAACGTAGAAGAAGAGCCTTAAAGTAAGGCAAGCCAACTTAGCCCGATCCGGTCCATTCCTGTCCAGCACCGACCAAGTGGAGAAAGCAATAGGCTCTTAGCCTTCAATTTACCATAGCCATACCTATTCACAGAAAAGAAGAACAATCCGGGTTATACCATCAACGCCCCTTGGATACTAGTCCACGCATAAAAGCAAAGAATGATGTGCCTCCGACATTCGAAGAAGTTGGAGTATTTTGACGCCGTTCCGTAGATAGCACACTGCCCTTTCGACCAGAAGACGACGTAGATATTGACGGGCCCACAGGAGCCTTTCGTTTGCTGCTTGTTGTTTGAGAAGGAGTATTTCGTATCGGTGATACCCTTCCAGTGATTTCCGCAGGCCCGTCTATTTGTTATTCGATACCGTGCTGTTTCTTGAGCTGCTCTAAATTGTCCTTGCGGGATTCCAAGTCCTCTTTCGATCGTACCATCTTGTCTGGTTGGTGGTAGAGAACTAGAGGGCATCAGCGAATGTCATCTTGGAGAATTCGGATCGAAAACCTACCAACGAGATAGCGATTCTGGAAGTTGAATCCGTTCAACTTATCGCAAGCCTGCTTTGCATCCATTACGTCCTCGAATACGACATATGAAGTACCTTTTGTGTTGTTGGCGATGCCTTGACGGATTTGGCTGAAGAAGTTAGTCAAGCTCGAACGATGTTGGGATAAATGTTGTCGCATACCGGATGGGACCAAACTTTCCGAAGAGATCGAAGAGCTCCTCTGGAGTGACGTTGTAGCTGTTGCTGGTTAGCATGACGTCTCATACCATCTGCCGTCTGCGGCCCTCATCCTCGTAGCTTCCAAGTAGTTGATGTTGACGGACCTTAGATTCTTGACGAACAGTATTCTGGCAGGTTGACACAAAGTTAGCTTCTGTTTGCGTCCTATCGCGGCTATCCAATGCCGCCCGGATCGCGTCGCGTTTTTACGTACCGATTGACCTCGGGTGCAAGTTTACCGCCTCGACTCATAGCTTGGCTGCGGAATTGATCGTACGTAGGGGATTTGGTGGTAGATTAAAGGTTGTTGTAGGGTTGCGAATTGGTTTGTCGATACCGGAGGGGCCTTGGGCTTGGATTGGAAAATGGAGCCCAAGCCCGAGCCATTCCGTACTAGCGCCGTATCCGGATCACGTGGACAGCACCTCATCCTGATTCCTGAGGTTGTCCTAGACTGTACTCGAGTACTGTCTTGAAGTCTTACCCTGAATCTGATATCGATACGATGATTCACAGCGTATTGTGATCTGGTCTTCAACATGAATACCTTCGATTCGAGTCAACCTGCTTCTCGAGATCCTTCGCCGTGTCCTGTCTATACCTGATTTCAATACTGGATACGATCGTACCATTCCGTCCCTCCTTTCTGCGTCACTTGTACCACCACCCTATACGTCATATAGATTCAAGCGTATATGTTTGACAGCATTAGCCTACAGATGGGTTGCATGCTGAGCTGAGGACACTATGAATGGGACATGGCCAACCTGAGGAACCAATAACAACTTTGGTGACACTGTGTATACTTGACATACTAGTCTATTTCCTCTTGCGGCGTTGTGCTACTAGTACTTAGATATTCGCATGTCCTCTATCAAGAACTTACATACTTCTGTTCAAAATTAAGCTCAAGCTTACTGCCCCTCCCCTTTCTTTTCTACCTGTCCTTACGCGCGTAACATAACGCCCCCTCCCCCGGCGGGCTGTTACACCCCCTCAACGTCGAAGTAATCTACCCAGAGAAGCGAGAGTAGTACAATAAGAGAGCACAGGTAAGCAGCAACTCATTGTTAGCACACGACGCATGCTAGATCAGCCTTTGCAAGGCTCAAATGTAGGGACATAGAGGTACGGGCTCAGTAACAATAAGAAAAAGGCCACTTTTGCGCTTTGCGATTTGCTTGTTATTCGCCCAGCTATACAGCTATACAATAGCGATGCCGTACATACATATCCACATCCATATCCACAACAGTATATGTTTTCCCTCCCTCGGAGTATGGGTACATGAGAAAAATAGCCAGGAAACCAGCTGTTATCTAGCAATGCAAACACAGTTTACGCATTGCTATATTTAATCATCAAGTCAGCGATTTGTGATAGTTGTTGTATAGTGCAAGGCACTCACGGCAGGTGCACACCTGGCATTGCACAGAGCTTGATCGCAGGGTAGGTCATCTGACTGCTTCTTTGGTGATGCTGCCATGCCGATGGTGGCAAGGGCCAGAGTGAGGAGAAGAGTGATTGAGTTCATTTTTCGAATCGCAAAAGGGAGGGCGATAAGGGGTATGGTATTGGAGATAACTGGAAGTTGGAGGATTTTGTTTTTCTTTTTTTTTGATGTGGAGATTTTTGTCGAGCAATGTATGGTCAAGAAGAGGTACATCGAGGGATCTTATATGGACACCGTGGTCCGCCGAGACTGCTTTAAACTTCAGCATACTTGTTCAAAGTATCGTACTTTTCAACCTTTGATTCATCTCTAACGGTTATCCCTGGATTTATGAGCACACATACGAGTACGCTCTGAAAGTTTTCGTACATGGAGAAAATTCTAGATCCTAACATCCTGTACATTTTCGTCACCGAAAGCTTAAACCCCAAACCTTAGCTGAGTTCTTCTTTGAGTTCAGGGATGTTTGGTTTGGGATGGCATTTAAGCGAGGCTTAGCGCAGGTTTGGTTTGATGTTTTGGCGTGATCCGTCGGGGAATCATCGGATGGGTACTTGTTCTTTACTTTGGAAGTTTTCGTTCTAGGTTCGTTTGGAAGATTCTAGGCTTATATCGATCACGGAGATAATACTTGTTGGCTTCAGAGTATATAAGAGTTAAGTGTTTATAGTGAATCCAAAACTCCTTAATTCTCTGATTGGTCGGATAAAACTCTTACTGATCAACATCACCTGACCTCACTATAGACTTAATTGTTATATACTCTGAAGCCAACAAGTACATACTTGTTTCTCACTTTGTAGATTCCTAAGAAATAATCTTAGGGTCGTTTCTAACCAGTTATATCCCGCCATTTCGCTATCTTTTCCTCGCTTAAGCGTCTTCGGTGCTTTCTAACTGACTAGTTAGAAACGGACCTGATGTCATTTCCTACGAATCTACATAGTAGGGGATAAGGTTTAAAAGTTGAGGCTAACTTAGACTCTATATAATATCAAGTATTTGGGAGTACTGGTTCTACAAGGGCCACGGCTATTGTTCATCAATTAAGGCAATAGCTAGATCTCCATTTCTGCTAATATACTCGTATAAAGTCTCTCACTTCCAACGCCAGACAAACTCCCATCCGTCACCCTTCAACCAGAGCGATGTCAAGTACCGGCGATCAATATCCATCCGCATCACCGATATGATTTCTCTGTCTGTTATTGCTGGGTACCGATCTTGGATTGTTGAAGTGACTAGATCAAGAGTCATGTAACCTCTGCCCATGAAAAAGCCCCGAAACGACGTGGGGAGGCTAGCTGGACTCGCGAAGTCCCCGGCGTTTCTGTAGGTAATGGTGTTGGTTGTGCGGTCCGTCATTGTATATCGTCTTTCTTTTGTGTATCGTTTGTTTTGCTTGCTTGGTTCTGTCTTGTTCTTTTGTCTTCGCTTTTTGTCTTGTGTATTGAAGTTTTCATGTATGGTTTGGCAAGCGATGAGACTCTCGATGGAGTATGAAAGGGAGGCTTGATCTCTAGGAAGCTCTCTTTTGAGTACTAAATGAGTCTAGAAAGAAAGACATCGCATGATTCACGAGGTTCTCATGCTGTGATTCACTATGGATTTGTCGCACCCATTCACCTTTCGTTTCTTTACAAACTTCTTGTTCCATTCATGGTCAATCTGGTCCTGTCGTAATAGACAGACCTGGGAAAACTAGCATTTCCGGTCAAAATCTGTGTGCGTCGAAATGTTGATCAAGGTTTGGGACCAAGACACAGAGTTTGACTATCAGCAGTGACGATGTAAAGTCCAGGAGTCTACACCGAGACACTTCTACTGAGCCTAAAGTGTACGTTGAGCAATGTGTATATACGGTCCAGTGATTGAGCAATCAAGGGATCACGAGATCTATCTGGAAGGTGGTGGAAACACCAAGGATTATTCATAGTAATTCTGTCACACAAGCACAACTTTAAACGAACACTTGAACACAGTTGAGCGTACAACTATCTCCAGAATATCTGCAAATCAAGGTATATTTTAAAGCATTTATCAAGCGCGTTCCCCTGATTCATTTACAGGAAGACGCGGTATACAAGAAAGCTTTCAGTTTTTCTTCTTTTTACGTTATCATCTTCTGTGGTTATGCCATGCATCTCACGGAAATCTTTTACGGAAGGAGGTCCGAAAACTCGTCGGCCGTTTTCCTAAGCCCAGGGTTAGTATTGTTAGCCCGTCTAAGTTTACAATCATAACGGTCTTCAGGTGGGCTTATGGGTTGATAATTGTATGTTTTTAGCTTGTCGATCGTGTTGGAAAAGATACATTTGTGCAACCTCTAACGGCATTCTGGGAAAGGATGGAGAAAATTCATCGGACAACATATGAAACTCGTCTGTTCGTAAATTGAATAAAATCCATATCATTTGCAGAGTTTACCTAACCAGCTCTCTTGTAGGAAGTCTGCGCGCCGCATACATCAGTACCCGCTATCAACGACATCAATGTGAGGTGTTACCGAGGAGAAGATTTGTGGTAGGGAAAGGAACCATGACGTACTACATACTCGTGGTGTTTATGAGGTGGTTTGTAAGTGGCTTGCATTCACATTCAAGCTTAGTGTTAAAGTCACAATAGGAACCAACCAGTTTCTATCAATCAGTAAGTGGTAAGAATAGTGACAATGCAATTAAAGATGATTAAGGAAAGAATGCTCAGTTTGAAGCCATACTATTGATCAGGAATAGCACCAGCGCCACAGGTATTGCCTATGCCGCTCCCTACAGTACCTGTGGGGCAGGGGCAGTGATTGAAGCAAGAGCCACGGCAAGAAGATTCGAAGAACAGAGAAAAACTTCATTTTTGGGGTGATAATATAAAAAGACTACTTTTAAAGAGATATTTGTATCGAGTTTGATATCCGCAAGTCGTCTCAAACCTTTGGCCTGAAAAAGAAAGTTTATAACTATCGTCTCATGTAACGAGTTCTCCTCGCATTTAATGCTACTAGTGTACTGTAATTGATGAAGCAAATGGTCATGTGACCAGCTTATGTCATACCAGCCACTCTATAAGCCAGTTCTCCTTCGGAGTTCTGGCAAATAAATTATTACCTTAATATATTCTTTTATATCAGCAGCATCAATTTGAACTTGCTATCTTAGTAATGGCGCCCGGTAAATCGACCCCCGGGGGTTTAGTATTTCGACTCCCCCACCCCCCCTCGCCTAATTAGTAGTCCGTACTTTAGGTACGTTATTCGTAATAACTCTACCTTTCTCTTAATACTACGAATTTAAAAGTACGATAACCCTCTATTACTTAATTATATATCGAACTTATATTATATAAGAAGTATTTTTAAAAAAGAATTAAGTTAATAAATATATTTCTAGATAAGTAATTAAGTCTTATAGAAAGTCTATCTATAGCTATACTATAATATTTATTTATTATAAATAGCCCTATTTATAAGTATTATAAATAATAAATAATTAGAAATAAAATTAACTAAATAAAATTTTATAACTAATTATATAAAAAACCTTCTTCCGAAAGTTATAAGAGTCTAGAACGTTTATTCGCTCTTATAAATCCTTTAGCTAAATTCGTACTAAGTGTTCTAGTACTCTAAGAATAGCGCTTAATATACTTATTAAAGTCGTACTTAGTTCATTATACTACTTATTATTAAAATACTTTCTTATTCTAAATATTAAGATCTTTTAAATTCTAATTAATATTAGAAAAAGCCTTATAAGCTCTCTATAACTTCTTATTTAACTACTCGGTTTACTTCTTAAGAATAGTTATAATACTATACTTAATTATATTATACTTCTTTTATATTAACTTTAAACCCCTTACTTGTCACGAATCACGTGCATACGTGATGAGTGAAGACCAGGCGGCGCCCTGACAGTTTAAGCACTTCCATAGACTTATAGCAAATAGGGATCGGTTAGGATAGCTAACCGATGCAAGGATTTCTTTAGGAAGAAAGCATCACGTGATCTGATCGCCTGAGTC